CTCAAAAGCGATTTTACATTTGCATATGTTACCTCATTAGTCACTTTTTATTATGTGGAAATATGTGCCAAACATTTTTATTGACAAAAATGATTGAACTCCTTTTCAGGAATCTATTTCATAGAATTTCTGTAGAAAATCAGAGATGGGTATCTGAAATGCTTCTCAATAGTTCGATAAAAGGCATAGAGCAAATAATTGTCTACAAGATAAGACTTTTCTCAGTGCTTCTCCGTGTTTTCTTCGAAATGAAATCTGGTGGAAACTTTCATATAAATAGATTAGATGATAAAATTATGATCACTCTTATCTATGGAATTTTGGAGACACAATATTCAAATATTCATAAATTTTTAGGTCAAGAACGGTGCTAATCTACGTAAACATATTGAAGGAAGTCAAAAGTATTATATGGTACATTTAGACTATGTTGGTGATAGTGGAGGGCATACGGTGCATCGTTCTGTTAGTAAAAGATTTAAAGTTCGTCCTGGGACTTATATTATCATACCAAATACATTTGTTTGTGACGATGTTGGTGAATATCTCTTACGAATATTCACTGAAACAGTCGAGGGTCAAACACTAGCAATGTATGTTAGTTAGAATGAACCTTTTCTGACGTATAACTATTATTGTTTCTTTTTTTCATTTCAGAGAATTGACAAATAATAAAGAAAATCTTGTAAGTAGTTTTCATAGTATAAAGTCACGATCTCATACCTAACTGAGCTAATGAAAAAGTGGGATGAGCACTGAGATTTTGAAGTTCTTATTAAATATTAAACTTGTTAAAAAATTAGATGTTTTGTCGGAATTTACATCTTCGAAGTTCAGGATGAATCCACATCCTAAGAAACAAAGGCGCACTACGAAACGTTAAAAAGGTTCTGATCGTGGGTATTATAGGAATTTTTCAGTTTGAAAGAATTATTCGTCATTTTTGAATAAAGATCAAATTCAAAATTGTGAATGAAAAAAACTTCTTTTGCATTATTATTTTTAAGTAAAATTGATCTTATCCATCTGTATTAATTAGTCCTCAAAAATGATTAATGCAAGTTTTTTCTTGCGATTAAAAGCCAAGGAAAATTGCATCTAAATATTCCCTTAAAAGCGACCTAATTTCTTGAATAGTTTTTTCAATGTTCACATTCTCCTTCTTACCTGGATTGAGATGTTCCAAATGGATAATTTTTTATCCGGGTTGTTTAATGCTTAATTGTCGTCCTTAAGAGCCGGCCATCCGATATAGATATTGTCTTTAAAGCTTTTGTTCTCTTAACAACATTTTGTTCTATTATTTTAGACTGAATTGGAAACAAAACGTCCACATTTAGAAGTCGATAGTAAATCAACTTCTACTCCGAAATCATCCAACGAAGAAACAAATAATGTCACAGAAGATGTAGGTGGTGCTTTTTCAGGTCCAAATTCAAGAAAACCAAATACCAATATTGATACTAATAATAAAAAAGGACATTATCGTACAATTCAATAAACAGAAAGAAAAATAATATCAATCAAATAATATTATTTTGAAAATGAACTACCGATTATTTTTCTCACAAAGATCTACTCCTATTTTAAATCTTAAGTGTGACTATTACTACGAAACAGTTTTTAGATTTTTGCTTAACGTTACTGGCTGTGTGTTAACATAATGCATCAAATATTTGGTTTTCTAGTATTATTTCTTACATCCATTTCAATAATAAAATCTATTTTTATCTATTTTTTGCATATCTATTTTTAACAAGAAGTAAAATATAACTTCTTCTTCTCCTTTATTCTATAATATAAATAAAGAGTATTTCAAAATTTTATTGTTCATAATAAATAAAGATCAAAATCAAAGTTTATCATTAAAATTATAAATAGGTAAAGTTTTATAAAACATTTTTATTGTTAATTTTGAATATTTTAATTGTTATGGTGCCGGACACGTTGTTATTTATAAAGAAATTTTTTACGAAATTTATATGTTTATTTTCATTATTTTGGTAATTCTTATCTTTCCTAATCCATATTTTAATTACTTCTTAATTTAATATTGAAGTTGAATTTGCTATTACAGTTGATAATACCCATTATAGAAAAATTTAGTAGAAATTTTTTGTGCCACAAGTAGTATTAAGATATGTTTAAACTTCATTGGGTAAACCAGATTCGACTAATGGTACAGTCTTATGAGATCATCTCGCCTTTTTTCTCGTGACTATTATATTCAAATTGAATATTTTCATTAAAAAAGTCTAATAATGCTTTTCGCATACCTTATGTGCTTCTCAGTATGGGTCTTCATTAAAACGAATTGAATTTATAACTAAATTTTTTAATTTTGGTACATGTGATAAGAAATCTCTTATCAAGGAATGAAACTATATTTTTGTTATTGAAATACCATGATTAGTATTGCAGATTTCTATGGATACAAGTTAGAGACAGATGTAGAATTAAAATAACTTACTTCCCATAATAACTTTTTATAAATAATTTCATGATGTTTTACTTTTTGCTGATTGATCAACGTATACCTCAACGTGTTTCTCGTGATCTACCTCACAATATTCGCATCTACATGAATTTGGTCGAAACTTAAGAGACAGTGCATGAGGGCACCAAGAAACTGAGACACGAGACAAAAATTAATTTTTTGATTTTTTATGTGTATCTGAAAGGCCATCATCTAAAACCATCAAGACCAACTTTTTAGCTCATTTGGATGTACTATAGTAGAGTTCGCTTATATCGACTTTTTATTACTGTATACTTACTATCATATTTACAGATCGTGCAAATGTACATATCCCTTTCAGTAGTGTCAAACTTGAGAGTTGAATTCAAGTATTGAACTATTACTTCAACTATTCAACTATTCGACTATTCAAGTACTCAATTATTTAAGTACTCAATTAGTAAACAGCTGGAATGCCACCCGAATTATCTAATATCGACAGATATTGTCTGCAAGACTACAAGCATCCCCTATGATGCCACAGGCATTCCATAGGATGCTACAAGTACCACCTATAATGCTACAAGCATTCTCTATGATGCTGTAAGCATCACCTACGATGCTACAAGCATCCACTAGCATGCTACAAACATTCTCTAGGATACCACAGGTTTTGGTTGAGATGCTGTAGACATTATCCGGGGTGCTACAAGGAGTATGTGAAAAGCTTGAGCTAATGTGCAGCACTGAGTAGGAATAATGGCGTACACAAAGACGTGCATGGGTCGCGGCTCTTCGGGGGCGCTTTGCGTCCCCACGCCGCGACGCTGAAATAAAAGGTGTGTCAGGTGGGGAAACGTGCTTCCCCACTGAATATCTGCAGAACACTTGAGAAATTGAAATTTGAATAGTTGAATACTTGAATACTTGAATTCAAGTTTCAACTATTACATATATGCGAATTGATGGAATAGTTCGTCAGAAATATTTAAAAAAAAGATAGATCTCAAGATGAGACGCTGATTTATTAAACACATAATAAGATGAGAAAAATTCCGCATTTCAACGGCGATCATTCTACAAGCTGATAGGTTTGTTTAAAATACAATGAAAAAACTGATCAAACACATCGTCCATTCTACCTGTGTTGTACATTAGAAGTATGAGTAATTTTCTATTCTGCATAAGCAAAAAGAGTGTTAAGAAACTTCGTCCGATTGTAATCCACAATAATCTTCACATTCGGATGTTCGACAATTCTTGATCCCCATTCTTTGGTTTTCTCATCCTGATACAGTTCAACATCTCGCCATTCACCGATTGTTGGATCAATTGCACAACAAGCGGTTAAAGGATCATGAAATACTTTTCCATATATGTCAGTTCGACGCAAATAGATAGTCATGACGCGATATATTTCTTTTAATGAGAGACTTCTGTCTTTGATCGGTTCGAGTTCCTTGTGGGTGTCTCTAGTATAATGCACTCTGTGACAAACATTCTTTGAAACGAAAAATTTCTCTCTAATGTTCTTGTCTTGTAATACTACTAAAGCCGACTCTACATCACTATCCAAATTGAATGCTGTACTGGTAATTCGACCGTTAAATCTGTTGATGCGTTTTTTCGGAGGTACAATATTATCACCTGCAAATCCACCTTGCACGACTAATCGGCCCACTTGAAATTTTCCAGTTTGAATGGCTTTACTAACATTGCTCAACGGTCCCCCACATATGAGGATTGTATGCTCATCGCAGTGAGTCACTAAGATATCGCATGCATCCGACGCTGCTCGAGACTCTTTTATAACTGCTGCGTCATATACTTTGAAATGAAAACTTGACAGAGCTGGTTTGGCATTTATGTTAAATACACCCACAGGTAGATCAGCACGATCAAACAGCGATAGAACATGTCGAATAAAACCAATTTGATCGGGTGTGCCAGGAACAATAGTAACAGCTTTAAGATTAACTAACGGATGACCGAGAAGAAGGAGAAGAGTAACGAAATCATCCATATCGCCAGTTTCCATATCAAATATTATTTGTAAGCGACCGTTGACATAAAAACGCTCGGAATTCAGAGTTTCCGTATTTGATTGATTGTTTCTGCTAAAAGTATTCCAATCAAAAGCTCTGGCCATAATTATACTTGATTTGTTTTGTAAAAAATTAAAGCGTCAAACAAAGTTATTGAGTATAAGTAAATCCAACTGACGCGATCGTAACAAAAAAATGTGTATTATATTCGAATCAGCAGCTATGCAAAATGAATAACTTTTTAAATAATCATACACGTCAGGACATTGAATCAGAGTGTTGTGTAATTACTCAACAGCCACGTCTATTCATGACGTCATGTCATAGTTTTTTTTTCTTCTTCAACAATAAGTGACTGACAGTCGTCATGAAACTGGAGGGGTATAGAAAAATGTACATCCATAAAAATTGAAAAAAATTCTTTACTAGAAGCAAAAATAAAATCGATTTTTTTTTGCTTCTGCACTCTTTTCATCCACTCAATCTTTAAACGTTGTGCAGTTGCCGACTGATAGAACATCTTTCTGCGGCATAAGATCTGACATGTTTCATTTGAAAAGCTCCTTCAATAGAAGAAAAGACTTGAACATTAGAATCAATGCAATTGAAAAAGGAAGTGCCATCTGTTTCATTTTCAACATTACTTTCAGATAAGATGGAAAAAATGGTAAGAAAGTCTTAATAGTCAATGGTTTGATTTTGATTACATTCATTTCATTACTTCTTCAAATGTTCTCTTTTGACTGGGTGACATCAGCATCTGTTATCCTATCCTCTCTATTTCTGGTGTGGAAGTTACCATTTGTAATTAATATTGATTAATTTAGGAAGCATGTGATTAAGGTATATGTTTCTAAATGGGGCAATGAAGAATTCTGTACGGTATTTTGGGAAAAAATTTGAATTGTTTTAATCGTCCATTCACTACCTCACCAAGCCATCTGACTTTTGTTATACATCTCGACTGATTAGATTCAGTTGTTGAGAATTGTCGACGGCCATCAAGAAATGGTAGTATAGCTACTTCTAAATGCAAACCTCAATTGAGGATATTGTCCGAATTTCTAAACACTGCGTTTTTCATGATCGAAGACACAATCATTATTAGTTTTAACAATTAGCAATATTTGTTGTATATGCTGATTAATTATTTCATGACGAGAAATATGCTTAAATCTCACATTTCTGTCAGGTAATTCACATAGTATCGCAAGTAAGTCACTTGATAAAACGAGTCGCAATTTGCATAACACAATTCCAATAGCAGTATGAATCAATCTATTAGATGAATTACGAATTCTTGCTTGTGAAATTTGCTCAACAAAATCGTCAAATTGCCTCTTTGAAACACTTATCAACGCTCGATATTCTTCGTCAGAAATAGAATGAGAATTATCGAAATCCAGTCGCTACTTGTCTTGATATAGCATTTTCCATTTGCTTAACGAACGTTGAGGGTGTGAGGATGAAGGTGAAGAAGAGGCTTCAAAGGTTCCTTCATCAAATACTCCAAGTTTGAAAGTGGATCTACTGAGAGTTTACCTCAGACTAGCTTGTAGTGATTCAGCTCAGAATAGGAAACTACACTCTCTCCCAATTTACTAGTCTATCACACTAGGAGTGTTTTATCTAGATATCTGTCACAGTCTGTCTGAAAGGGACGGTGGCGCTTGGTCCATGTTAGTAGCTATGTAGCTTCAATATTCTCTTTCAAATTGTATTTCTCAAACGAGGGTGTGGGTATGGGCGCGGATCTATCCGTGAACAACCCACATCCATATCCACACTCGCTATCTGACGACCGCTCGTAGCGGGACGTGAAATCGCGATAATGGCTACTAGTCCTTATTACTTGAGATTAAACTAGATTTAAAACAAATAGTATTATGCACTTGTTGGTTAGTTTATATCAAAACTTCCATATTGTACATGACTAATTCATGTAGTTATGGTAGATTCTAAACATACCTGATGCTGACTATTTGAGCAACAGTCGAA